TTCTAATGTGATAAATCTGAGTTAAAAACCTGGCATGTTTGACCAAGAATACAGTGGCAGAGGGGCTATTGGAGAGTTGTTGGAGTCGAGAGGCAGAGGTAAGAATATAAAATGTGCCTAAGTGGAGTGTTATGAGGGGATTAAATTCTGTGCGTGTAGCAAAAATCAGGTAGTCAAAATACTCTTAAAAATCCCTTAAAATTGGGGTGCCTGGGTGGCTCAGTGGGTTGAGGCCTCTGCCTTCTGCTCAGGTCGTGGTCCCGGAGTCCTGTGATCGAGCCCCGCATCTGGCTCTCTGCTCAGCAGGGAGCCTGCTTCCCTTCCTCTCTCTCTGCCTCTCTCTCTGCCTACTTGTGATCTCTGTCAAATAAATAAATAAAATCTTAAAAAAAAATCCCTTAAAATTTTCCATAAAATATAGATGTAAACATACTGTCTTTTAAGTAGTCTTAACATTGTTGGTTTTCCCTTCATCATTGCTTTTCTTTTGTTGAACCAAGGATGTGGCATTAGCTATATTCTTTTTGGTGGCTAAGGGTGGAATAACAGAATTGGAAGGACTACTTTTTATTACAGTTTGTGAAACTGATTTTCACTAGTTCTGTGAATAAAAATGCCTTTTTGGTTTTTTAATGGGTAAATGATAAAAGGCCCATGTTTCCCAAAGAAATCCTTGGGTAACAAGGATGTTTTGAGAGACCACTTTTCTCAGAAAGGCCTGTTCTCTTTCACATGGTGTGAAATTTATACCTCTTTGTAACTCTAATTTTCCTATGTCCTTGTCTGTCATCTTCAGTCTCTTTCTGTCCAATTGTACTCTGGTATTTTGTCTGATAGACTCCCGTCTCAACTCATGCTTATTTTCTCTTCATCTTTGTTCCCACACTCGTATTTTCCCATGCTCTGCATTTTTCTTGTTCTACTTAGTAACAGTAGTGTAATCCACTTCAAATTCAGTCATTGGAAGAGTGCTATCATAAGACCTGGTTTCAGTTTAGTTTCTTATATTAACTTTTCAGCTGAGAAAGACATTCCATATCCCTGAGCCTTAAGTTCCTTTGTTGAATAAGGAAGGTAATAACTCGTATAAACAGGACTTAATATAATGAAGGAGGCTGAGTGGTGATGGCTTTTTGAATAAATTAGAATTTCATGATTCTATTATCTATAGACTGTGCCTTCTATGAAACTTAGTAACTTAAGTTGGAGTTGTTGCTCTGAGACATGCAGGATAGGCAGTGCAGTGTTTCTAAAAATTTCAGGGGCAACTTTGGACTTTATCCTCATATCTATTCAGTTTCACCCTATTCTTTCACACACCATACTCTGTAATCACCTATATCCATCCTCTCTCCTAATCAGACATTGATAAGGTTGACACAATATGTGTAAGACACTTTTTTTCTGGTACAGTGGAATTTTTTGACCTAAAGGTTAGTAAATAATGGGAGTAGCATTTTTCTTCTGAATGCCAGAGCCCAGTGGAAATTCTTACTGTATCCAAGTTATGAACAGACAGGTAGAGAAACTTAAAGAAGGTACTGGTTTATCTTTAGATGGAATGTAAACTATGTATCCATTTTTAAAAGCATTTATTAAGTGTCTCCCTGGATATAATACTGATATAATTGGGCTACATCACCCAATATGGGATTAAAAGTGGAATTCCAGAAAACCTAGCTTTCCTTGAAAAATAATCATTATCGGCTGAGTGTGTGTGTCTTAATGTGAATATTGAGAAATTAAGGTTAAGAGCCAATGGAAAATTTTTAATCAGTTAATATCTGTTTAAAGTCATATTTTTCAATAATTTGATCAGTTAAAATTAAACTGGAAACCCATAGATTAATCTTTTCTTCCTACTACCTCACAAACCTCAGTAAGTGTCCAACAGTAGAAATCTCCAAGAGGTGATTTTCATCCTTGGCCCCTAAAATTGATCAGCAGTTGTTGTGACCTACTTTTAAGGGGCTGGTAGGGAAGGCGTCATGTATGTATATTTAAGGTTCTGTTTAAAAAGCCTCCCAGTATTCCATCACTTCATTGTTGTTTCCATGGAAGCAGAACCACTGTCAGCAGCAGGAGTCCATTTCAACTGCTCGCTTCCGGTTCTTGTTTCTCCGTTACTATGGAGACTGCCTAGAAAGCAGCAGAGATACCAAAAGTTTAAAAAACAATGATTTTGATTACAAACTGTGGTTTTAACTCTAGCTTGAATTAGGTGCTCCATAGTCTTGGCAGTTTTGAATTTCAAATTATTTTGGGAGACAAATTAATTTTTTTGAATAAAGCAAATTTTGAAGTTGTGTTAAAGCTTATAATCACACTGAAGTTAAAAAACTAAATTGCCGTAGTTTCTGTTACAGGTTAGCCTACGCTGAATCAGAAATTTTAGTGGGGTGGGGGGTGGCGCCTGGGTGGCTCAGTGGATTAAAGCTTCTGCCTTCTGCTCAGGTCATGATCCCAGGGTCCTGGGATCAAGCCCCACATAGGGCACCGGGCTCTTTGCTTGGTGGGGAGCCTGCTTCCCCCCGGCCCCTGCCTGCCTCTCTGCATACTTGTGATCTCTGTCTGTCAAATAAATAAAAATCTTAAAAAAAAAATTTTAAGTGGGGGATTTAAATTAGGGCATGAAAGGTAGAATGTGCAATGAGAAGCCACTCATGATAATGGAAGTAGAAGAGTCCATGAACAGTAAACTCAAAACTAAAGGATGAGTAATGTGTAGAAATGATGAATGTTTCTTATTTATGTGTGGCACATTTTACCTTCACAACATATTTTCATTACTTAGGTAACTTTCACAGATACATTGTTTAAAAATAAAAACTTGGGTTTAGAAATTCAGTGAATTTTAAGGACAGAGGCAGGAATCATATTGATATTTTAATTTTAATTGAAGTTTGAGTAGTTGGAGAGTTAATAAATGTAGACTGTTCCATGGTTAAGAAGTGATAGAGTCTGCTCGTCCCCAAGGCTATTATATTTTTGAATTCCTCATAAAGGGGAAAAGAGATGGAATAGTAATGTAAAAGCTGTGAAAGGAGGTTTTTGTTTTTTGTTTTTTTTTTTTAAAGCAAAATTGCAATCCCAATTTGGTTGCTGTTTTTCTTTGAGGGCTCTCTGTTCAGTCTGGATTCTTCAGCACATGTGAGAAAATCTACATTTGAGCTATAGTAGGCAAAGAATGGCAGGAATGTAGCTTCCGGCTGAATCACACCAGGATTCCTTTTTGTTGTTGTTGTTGTTGTTGTTGTTTTTTGTCTCTCGTAAGTGCTTCTCTGATTGGTTCTTTGCGCATTGGCAGAAACTAAGGCTGCTGGCAGTTCCCAGTCCTCTTATTTCCAGCATCAGTAGTGGAGAGGGACTGATTGGCCCCGTTTGTGTTGGGCCAATTCCTCCCTTCTCCAACTGTGGCTAAGAGGGTGGGGTTCTGTCATTGGCCCAGCTTGTGACAGAGGACTCACCCTTGACTTACTAGTAAGGGGTAGAGGGACAGAGATATGAAACACGAATGCAGTTTTCTTTCACACCACCTTGTTAACAGCTGGTAGTGGTAGGGGAGAGGTGGAAGGCTATGAAGGTGAGAAGAAAGGGCCCTTCCCCAGAAGAAATAGAAGATGCTATTCTAGGCAGAAATAAAGTTTTTCTACTAGTAGTCTTTGGAGGAAAAATTCCTGCTTTACTATAATTCAGTTCAGTTCACTTCAGCAACACGGGAACGTTATTTTGTAGGATTTGGTTTAGAGAGAAGCCAAGATTGAAAACCTTTACAATTTAGTGCTTCCTGTATACAGCTGTCTTTATTGTGGTGTCTTTTATGTATAATCTCCTTTAATCTCTGCAGTCATTTGAAGTATATATTTAGAGAATGAGGAGGAGGGTCAGAGAATTGGATGATTTATCGTAGGTCACATGACTAGTGAGAGGCAGAGCCAGAATTTAGATAACCATGGTTTCCAGAATGTAGTCGAGGGCAGTTTCCACTGTATGATAGTTTTTGGTTAACTTCATTCAGAAAATACATAGGGTGAATTATTTAAAAAAATACTGTGTATGAAGTGCTTTGATAAAAATGAGTCATGAATGTATAGAATATTATTTGTGAAAGGAGCCTTAGAGATTATATAGTACAGTGGTTTTCAGAATTTTTAACTTTCAGTCATGGAATCCTTTCTTCAAATGAAATGTTGTATCACACTGAGGTATATAAAATGGGTAAAAACTTAGGATCATTCCACTCTAGAGAGGAGAGAGCCCAGTACTTCCTTCATGGGCTGGAACACCTCTTTTTCAAGGTCTTGAGTTCTTTGGATACCCTTTGTTTAGAGAAACAGAGCCAGGCAGGGTCAATGACTTGTTCATTTTCATATACTTGTATATTACAAGGATTTCAATTAGTAGTTCTTTTTTCTCTTTTTAGAAAGTTTTTATTTTAATTCCAGTTGGTTAACATACATTTTAGTTACATTCTTATTTTCAGTTATAAGGTGGGTGACAATTTGTTGTTAATGAAAAAACCATGAAGCTTACAGAAATCAGAGTGAATTCAGAGTTACCTTAAATAATTTTATTCTCCAGTTTGTTGGTACTTTTAGAACATATCAAATCCATGTCATGGCTCTTATTACACATCTACTGCATTTAGTCCCAATTTGTTGAATTGGATATTTGCATACTGCCTGGACAAGGCTAGTCTTCTGTCTCCAGAGCTTTTTTGTACTATATTTCTTGTATATCGATACCTCCAATAAAAGGTATCGGATTCTCTTTCTATACTTAAATTGGAAAATTTCCAAATTTGGATAAATCAAATTTATGGTGGTAATATTTAGACCTTGCTAATACTAAAAACTTTGATGTCTGTTCCATTTTGAGTATCTCTTCTTTTTAGTTAGAAATGTGAACAAGTAGTGAACTGGGTAAAAAGAAGTTAATCTATAGTTTGGATAAAAGGAATTCCCTTATTTTTCACATGTCTTGGCTTTGTTTTCTCCTAGGAGAGTCAAGCCCTACCCGTCGAGAAGCTGTGAAGAGAAGAACAGCGGAGTATCTCATGCGAGCAGAGAGTCTCTCCAGCCTTTACGGAAAACCTCAACTTGATGATGTATATCAGGTATGTCTTATGTTTCATTTTGTATTTTCTTTTAGCCATTTTTGTCTCTTGGCTTTATTTATAACTAGAATGAGAATTTTGGTCTTTGGAATTTTATCAGTAATTTTCTAACAAGTTATTGGTGGGAAGAAAAAGCACTGAAGTGAACCACCAAATGTGGTATGAAACTGGACTTGCTTTCTCCTCTTTCTCAGCCCTTTGTCCCTTACTCTACCTTTAAAACTTCCTGTTTAAAATGGTGGTAATTTGTACTGAATTTTATTTGAAAACTTTTTAAGGTTAACTAATGATTTTTGTACAATTCCTCTACAGTTTTATTGGTTCATGATGAAACTAATTATTTAAGCATAAGTCCTACATGTAGCTGCTATAGATCACCAAGAGTTATAAAGGCATAATTCTGACAGGGTTTTTTAGGTTTTTTAGGTTTTTAGGTTTCTATCTGGTCTAGAAAGCAGGTGAATCAGCTTAAAACATTGGAAACATTGTGATTTATTATTGTTTTTATGTCATATCTATCTGGATTTGGTACATATCAAGAATTAACTTTTCTATTTTTCTTATTTATATAAACTAATTTTTTTTTCTGATACAGTTGAAGAATTATATCTTCTAGAGATGGGAGAAAATGCTTATTTTCTTAATTAATCTAAGTTGCAGGTGGGCTTTTTCATATCCCACCTGTGTCATTTGAAGCCATGGAAGACTGGAAAATCTTGACTTCAGTTTCTGTATCTGAATAATGATAATAATAATTCCTTTCTGGGTTATTGTAAGGACTAAGTGAGTTTAAAAAAAAAATAACTCATATATACATACGCAAATACACTTATATGCAAATCAAGTGCCTACCTCATAAAAAGACTAGCCTATAATCTAAGCTTATGAGTAGCTTAATAAGTTTTAGCCCTTCAGATACTGCTTTGTATAATTTTTCCCATATTTTTTTATGCTTATATACCGTTTGACAATTGTAACATGTCTCAATTTTCTAGTTTTAAAAAATAGCCCAATACTTAATCTTGATTCATTGGACCATTAGACTTTTTGTTGCTGATTTTCTGAGTACTTTTCATTTTGTGTGTGATCTTTTCAAAATATGCAGTTATCAAATAAATACTTATTAGTGAGAATTTTCCATGTTAAGTGACCATTACTTTTTTTTTTTTTGAGAGAGAGAGAGAGAGAGAGAGAGAGAGAGTGAGAATGCATGTTCCCCGGGGCGGCGGGAGAGAGTGAGAATGCATGTTCCCCGGGGCGGCGGTGGAGGTGGGGAAGGTGGGGCGGGAGACAGAGGGAAAGAGAAAGAATCTTAAGCAGGCTCCATGCCCAGTGCAGAGCCCATTGTGGGGCTTGATTCACGACCCTGAGATCATGACCTGAACTGAAATCAAGAGTCGGGCACTTAACCGGTTGACTGAGCCACCCAGGCGCCACCTGATCATTACTTTTAGAATTAAAAATTAAATTCTGATTTGGAAGTAATATACTTTTGTTACTTGTCCTTATGTTATGAATATATTTTAAATAAGATATCTGCTGTTTCATTTTCAGATTATTATTCTGTGTTCTGTTTGCTAATCTTTTCCTATTCTATCGTTTTAATTGTATTATTGAGTTTATTTTTTAAACTCCTTACTATTTTATCCTTTTTAAATGGAGTATTTATGGACTATTTATATTTAATATAAATTTAAATATGATTATCCGTTTAAATATATTTATTATTATTATTATTTTATTTTTTATTACCTTTTAAAAAATTAACATATAATGTATTATTAGCCCCAGGAGTAAATATAATATTTAATGGAATATTTATTTGAATATTCCATATTTGTCTAAATATTCCACTAAATATAATATTTAAATGGAATGTTTATCTAAAGATTACTTTGAATTCAAGTCTTATTTTCTTTGGGGTTGACAGCCCTCCCTATGTCCAATCCTGATATGTACATTCAATTCCATTTTGGGGGACAATTATAAAATATTAAACAGGATGGGCCTCTATGAACTTACTTATTTTACTAATTCATCTTGTATACAAATGTTCTAACAGTTTTAGAAAATTACTAGATTTTATTCTTCCCATTAATGTTAACTTTTGAATGTTCTACCTATTCGTACTCCTTCAAACTCCCTGCTTATGTAGACTCTGTTACAGTTTTCCATAATCACTTCTGTGAACAATAATTTATTAAGGAAAGAAATGTATAAAGCCTGCTGTTTAGCTTTTGACTTGGAGAAAGGAACCATGAAATATATCAGTCAGAAATTCCCTTCAAGCATAACTTCTAATGAAAATAAAACTAAGGAGATCTAATACAGGAGAACTGGTTATATTAGATTATATATTAATTCACTAAGCATTTGTTAAGACTCTCTATTTATACATTATCAAACTGATACACTTTGGAGTTATACAAAAGTTATTGACACAGTCTCTGCTTTTGCAAACCCTATATAGTATAATTGAGGCCCTCAAGTATGCACGTCACTGAGGAAACAAAAGTTAAAAGAGAATGGTAAAGAGTCATGTAGAATAGTAGGAACTTGTATCAAAAGGGGTAAAAAGAACTACCCAGTAAATCAGATTTGATGTGCTAGGATTTTTTTCAACTCTTAGGCAAGGAAGCTAGAAGACCGTTTTTCTTGCTAGAACAAGATGTTTCTCTTTTATGGTTAGTATTTGCTTTTTGTTCACTGTATTTTATGCTGTTGAAGCTGGCTCTTAGTTAGGTCAGGAGCATGCTTGATTATTTTCTTATCTATTATTTAACTTAAATGTCTTCTCCATGTTCTTGATGAGCTTGGTGAATTCACTGTTTCCTTCTTTAACCGTCTTTGGGCTTCAGTTTCAACCAACACAGTAAGAGGATCGGTATAAATGATTTCTAAGGTCCATTCTGTGCAAAGTAGATATCATTTCTCTCTAGAATCCATATGCAAATATTTCTTTCTAGCCTTATTGATTAGGAAAATAAAGGAATTCCTTCTGGTTTTAAGATTTTATGTTGATTGTTGTTTTTCCCCATTGGTGCATTCCAGGTCATGACTCATTCCACTGGAGTTTTCTGTGATGATTTAGGCTTTTGCTTTATTGAATTTATTTATGAGACTCTTTTGTGGTAAATATAAAAGTTCTGAACTTTTCAGTCCTTCATGGTAATATCCTTTTTTAAAAAGGACGGAAAGGAGCAAAAGCACGCTTTGTTTTCTTCATTGCTTCATTATTAACAGAAAACTTAAGGGACAGGTTTCAGAAAAAAAAAGGAAATGAATTTTGAAGTAAAGGTGAAGTCTTACTTAACTGACGGAGACAGAGTTCTTTTTTTCTTCTTCTTTTTTTTAATTGGAGATGACTTCAAAGGATTTAAGAATTAATATTAAAAGAGGATTTTCCTGGAAAAGACTTAGAATAGCTTTTCTGCTCTTTTTAGCTCTAGGAATTTTAAACCAAGATGATTGAAATTTAGGAAAAGACAAAAAATGGTCTATATTTAGGACATAAAAGATTGTATAGTTTCTAAAGTGTGAATACATTTTTTGTCATGCAGTTGAACAAGGTGTGAATGAAAATTAGTATGTAGAATACATGCCTTTCCCGAATATTTGTAGATTTTGAGAACAATTGGAGTAATATTGAAAATATTTTTCTGTTGTGCATTTTGTTGACTGGTCTTATTGATATTTCTCAGTTTTCCTCTAGGAAATATTTTAAAATGAGTATTGTGTCACCGTTAGTGAGACATGGCCCAAGCAGCGATGGTAGTCAGTGGCAATCCACCTCAGTAGTAGGACATCCTTGAAATGTGATCTAAGAAAGGCTTAGGAAACCAGGTTGGAAGTGAAAGTCTCGACAAAACCAAAAATTTACAGATGAAGCCAAGTTCAGAAGCTATTTATAGTTAGCCATCAGGTTTCAGAGTGTGGATTCTTGATATGTTTTTTCTAGTGCTTTCCTTTTATCCTTATCTGCCCACCCCCCCAACCCCCCCAAACTGTGACTTACTCTTAGGTTACTTAAGGACGGGTAGCTAACCCTATTCTAAATGTGGTTGGTGGACCAGCAGCATCAGCATTACCTGTTAGTTTGTTGGAAATGCAGATTCATAGCCTCTCTCTGACTGATCAAATCAGAATCTCCATTTTAACAAGGCCCTCTGGTGATCTGCCAGCACATTAAAGTTTGACAGGTACCGCACTCACAGATTGGTAAGAATGGAGGTAGATCTCAGTGAGAACAGTGTTTTCTCCTGTTTTCAGGAGAAGAAAAGTTGCAACTTTAAAGAAATCAACTTTAAAGAAATCAGCAAAAACAAAGGTAAGCATCACTCAGCCACTTAGAGAATGTAGAGCAGAAATCATAAACAGATTTTATTGGTGTGTTTACTCTAATCCTCTGGTAATAGCTCCCAAGAACACTGTATTACGAGACAGAGTGTGAGATTAACAGAGATGGCCGCCAAGGGCTTCAGCATGGAGTGATATGTATTTGCCATCTTTGGTTTTAAAGATTGTTGGATCATCATACATTCTTTTAAGACCCATCATGTATCCCCTCCCCCCCACCTCCTGTGTTCTGTTTTGGTAGAGATGAATACAATTGTCCCTTGCTTCTCTAGGCATCTTCTGTTACAGTAGTTACATATATAAGTGGAAATTCCACTTTTTTCATTAAGGAAATCAGCCATGTTTCCTAGAAATATAGTATATTCCCCCATCCCCCATTCCCTTAGCATTGGCTGGAGTTTCCCCAAACATTGTTATTTCATAAGTAAGATTTAATCCCCTCTTATCTATTGTCTAGTTTTGTCATCTTAGACAGATTGCTTAACCTTGCCACTTCTCAGTTTTCTCATCTGAAAAAAAAAAGAGAGAATGTTGGACTTGATCTCTGTCTCTTTCTGTTCTTAAAATTCTGTGGATGTATGTTTCCTTTTGCCATCTGAAAAAAGGAATAGATCTATAGGGATTCTACCCAATTTAAACGCTGCATATAAGGAATACAGGATTTTTTATTGATGATTTTATTTCATGATCTTTCTTTGTTCATTTCTCTGATCTTAAACTTTTATAGACGGTGAAAGTGGAAAGAGAACTTTAATGGTCACTTTGCCTTTGGTCTTTCCCTATTACAATTTCACCATTCCCATCTTTGCAGAAGTAACCTTACTAAATCACTGTTTTCATTGGGTTGTTTCTCATACAAAAACTTGTTTTCTAGACTGTGGAGAATATGGTCCAGACCTGGCACTCAAGGTCTGTGAAAACTGACCGACCCTAAATGCATAATTTTATTTTCCTTTGTTCTACAGTGTGAACAATTTTTTCCCCACCAGGCCAGTTCCCTTCCAATCCTATATATAATATCCTTTTCCTTATCCTAATTCCAACATAGCATTTAAAATCATCTTTAGTTCTACTTCTTTCTGAGACTACAATTTCTCATATACAAACTAGTGACTTACCTTAATCTATTGTTTTGTATTTTTAAAAACTTTTGTTGTTACTTAATTTTTCATGTATTTGGCTTATCCCCTCAAATAAATTATAAACCCCTTGAAGCTAGGGGATCATGACTTTTGATGGTTTCTGTTCTTTTCAGTTATAATGCATATAGTGGGCACGCAGTCATCATTCACTGAAAGGTACAATGAGATTTTATAGTTTGCTATCTTTGTTGTTGAGATTCCTACAGTGAACCAAAACCTTTCTTTGGAAACTGAAAGATCCAATGACATCAGTGAGTAAGAAGGTATAAGGTAGAAATAGAAGATAGGGGGCACCTGGGTGGCTCAGTCAGTTAAGTGTCTGACTCTTGTTCCCAGCTCTGGTCTTGATCTCAGGGTCGCGAGTCTAGCCCTGCTTTGGGCCCTATGCTGGGTTGCTCAGTCAGTTAAGCATCCGACTTTTTGATCTCAGCTCAGCTCTTGATCTTGGGGTTGTGAGATCAAGTCCTACATTGGGCTCCACGCTGGGTGGCTCAGTCAGTTAAGTGTCCGACTCTTGATCTCAGCTCAGGTGATGATCTCAGGGTCATGAGTTCAAGCTCTGCATTGGGCTCCATGCTGGGCATGGAGCCTACTTAAAAATAAATAAATAAATAAATAAATAAATAGAAGATAGGGATGTTAGACTCATTTGGCCATATTTTTAAAGATAAATGTAATGGATAAATTAATTACTCTTGTCTCCTATAACTTTTCCTTGACATTCCCCTTACCAAAAATGACAAGCAACTCTTACTCTTCCTTGATAATAGAGTAGGGGGAGATGAATTTTTAATGATCAGAATGTGTTGTGGAGTAGAATGACTGCAAGCAATATAGTAAGAAGTTGGAGCACACTGAAGTTAGTCCTTGTTTGCTAAACCTAAAAACAAACAAAAATCTAAAAGCAATTAGAGTTGCTGCTATTAGAAAATTTCACAAATGATAGTTTTCCAAGTTGTAAATGACACCTTATTTATCTTTGTTATCTTCTCATTTTCCTCCTCTCTTCCTCCTTCCTCTCTTTTCCTCTCTCTTTCCAACTGACGCGCCTAGGCGCTGTATGAAGATGAATGAGGTGTATTTCGTGTTCTCAGGGAGCCTCGTGTCTAGTGATACTGGTCTGCACAAGGACTGGAAGTATCAGAAGTGGTATCTCAGTAACTTAATCATGACACTTCATTAACCAGGATATTTATCTTCCATATTTTCCAGGGGGAAAACAGTGTTTCCTGTATATTTTGATAGATTTCTGACAACAAACAAGTGTGCTTTGAGGATACATTAAAGGCTTTGTGTCTCCTGTCGTCCTCTGCAACATTACCATTTTACTATACAGATTAGTATGACATTGCCTTCCCGTTGTAAATGCGAAATGGAGGTGTCTTTGGAGTTTATTTAGACTAAAGTCGTACTTCACTGACAGGGAAACACTAAGACCAATGGCTGGAAGTTCAGATTATTCTTTTATTGTGCCTTTCTCTGAAATATCCTTTCCTGTTTTCACTGATCTTTATCGTAGTTAGCAGACCAAGTTTTCTACAATACACATGTTCATATATTTAGAAAAAAAAAAAAGTTGTCTTCTGTAAATCATCTCTAGTCTTAAACAACCTTGATGTAACAATTACTGGTTCTATGATGGAGTTTCTGCATTTCTTTTTCTTTCTTTTTTTTTTTTTTAAAGATTTTATTTATTTATTTGTCAGAGAGAGTGAGCACAGGCAGACAGAGTGGCAAGCAGAAGCAGAGGGAGAAGCAGGCTCCCCGCTGAGCAGGGAGCCCGATGTGGGACTCGATCCCAGGACGCTGGGATCATGACCCGAGCTGAAGGCAGCCGCTCAACCAACCAAGCCACCCAGGCGTCCCGAGTTTCTGCATTTCTCACAGTTAATTGACAATTCTGGTTAAACTTGAATCTGCCAGTTCTCTTAAAATACATAGTATATATTTATAAAGTAACATTAAAGGACTATAGTTTCATGATGGGAGAGAATGACTTCTGTTGCCTCTCTCCCCAGGTTTATCGATTATTACATTGTTTTTTAGTACTCCCCTTCCAAATTAGTCTTGAGCCATCTGGGGTAAATACAAGGCTGTGATTGATGGTTGCCTCAGTTTCCCATTTGTTACAATGTTTCATTATAGCTGTACAGTTTTGAATTGAATTATTGCTCTAGAAACTACACCAGCTCATTATTTTTTCTTTTTAAAATTTTGTTTTCAATGTTATGATTTATTTACTTGCAACTTTTTTCTTGCTTTTTCTTTTTGATTTTCTTTCTTTTTGATTTTATTATTTTTTTATTTTACATTACAGACAAACAGAAACTTCCTCCTTTCATCTTTCCATTCTCTGATTTATGATAAATTTAGTTTCCTTTGGCCTGGCATTTGCTTCAGCAGGCAGTCTTCCTTCAAGTACCTCCCTGATTGAAGTATAATCTTTGATATCTTCCATTAGCCTCCAGGATCACTAAGTTCAAGGCCCCCTTGGAACCTAAGGAGCCCTGCCGAGGAGCTGAAGGCCTTCAGAGTCCTTGGGGTGATTGACAAGGTAATTCTTCAGTGTCTCTTCAAGAGTTCCGTCATAAATCGACTGCATGCTGACATTATGTCTTTGAAGCTTTGGATCTTAAGGATATGAAACAAAAGGAGAAAATGACTCAAATGCATCTGCACTTTAAAATAACAAAAGCTGAAGAGAAAAGCTTTTATCTAAGCAATTCATGTAAGGTCATGCAAAATATATTCGAGCTAAAGAAGAAGGTGCATATTTGTTGGCATTCAAGTTGAGTAAGGGTTTGGTTTTATAAACTTGTTAGAGCAGGGTAAAGATACACTTTTGTTAGTTACAAAGACTTGTTAGTCAGTAATTTTCAATATTAACTGGAGTAGTCAACCTAATGATCAAAAAGAAAATTGGCACACTCCTAAGAACTACCATTTACTGAATACCTACTGTGTGTCAGACTGTCTATTAGGCATTTCATGTAAAACAACTTACTTAGTCCTTCCGACAGCCCTGCTTTTTCCATCATGGTAGGAAAGTGATAGATAAAACAGGGTAATAAGTAACTTGCCCAGAAGTCACATAACTAGTTTTGGGTAGTACTGGAATTCAAAGCTAGATCTTTGTGACTCTGAAAAGCATTTTTTTCCCCCCAGCACACAAAACCCTCTCTTTATACACACATACTTTTGTATCTGGAATAAAAAATAAAGAGGTAACAGGGGTGCCGGGGTGGCTCAGTGGATTAAAGCCTCTGCCTTCTGCTCAGGTCATGATCCCGGGGTCCTGGGATGGAGCCCTGCATTGGGCTCTATGCTCAGCAGGGAGCCTGTTTCACCCCTTCCCCTCTGCCTATTTGTGATCTCTGTCTATCAAATAAATAAATAAAATCTTTTTTAAAAATTAAAAAAATAAAGAGATAACAGATATTTGCTATTGAGTTTCCCCAAATTTGGTGACATCTCAGATACATCAAAAATTCACAGTGCTGGCTGAGAGCTTACAAGTGTAATTTAAAAAACTGTACACAGTAAATCATGTTTTAAATGTATTTATCAACCACCACCTCACCTTTTGGAATAAAAGAAAATGCTTTATTTGTTATTGAAGTATAAATTTAGCCCTTTTAAAAAATATTAACCACCTTTTATGAAGCACCTTAGTGTTCATTTGTAACTTACTGTTCATTGAGCAGTTGTTATGTTCTAAAGTATGCATGTGATTTGTTGCTAAAACTGAACAATAAGCAGTATATCTCAGGTAAGTTAGGAACTAATGGTTTGTGGAATTCTGAAGGGAGTGTCAGGTTGGATATTACATGAAGCTCTCAGCGTCTTATTAAATCTTATAAGCATAATTGTTCTCAAATAATTCATATAACTGAATTTTGACTTAAAGAATGCTAAGCAGTAGTACTTTTCAACCTGAAATATTTCTTTAACCATGTTTTTCCTAGCTTTTTCAGTTTGGAGAACATTCTATTTGAGAGTGCAGAGAAGAAGCCAAGTAGGAACTGAATAGTTCCTAGTTTCTTGAATTTCTGTGCAAGCAAATACACTTTTTTGATGTACAGTGTCTGTTCCCTCTCTTTGATGTATTTATTTTGATAAAGTATGACCTTTCGTTGCTGTGCTCTAATCATGAGTAAGTCACCTTGAAGTCCTGGTAATATCTGGTAATATCTATGAGTCTCACATGTTTATCCAAACAAGCACTTTCAGCAGTGGAGGAATTCTTAAATTTTGTGCTGAGGCACAACTTGCCGCTGTCTTTATTCTGTTAACCTGGGAAGTGTGTTTGGTGTTGAGAAGGTGACATTTAACTTTCTAAGTAGAGATAAGGAAATACGTATTTGGGAATTAATAAGCTTTGCAAAGAATCTTTAAAAATTTGCAACAGAGTCACTCTTTGTAAAACCATTATTAGATTTTTTAAAAATTTGAATTATTTTAAGATAAATTCTTTTCAGTTTGGGTTTTAGAAACTAGAAGTTTGGAAGAATAGTGATGAATACATTGAAATGGCTAGTGGATACACAGGATATATTAATCTAAGCCTATACAGACCACAGTTTCTCTGATTCTGTTTCATTACAGTATTTGTTCTTCATGAGTTATTTTGAATGTTATTGTCTATAAACTTAGGATAATAAAACGTCCCTAGGAATGGGATTTTAGACTTTTAAATAGAAAGTAAATCAGATCTTCTCATCAATATCTAGACTGTAAGCTCTATGAGAACAAGATCTTGTCTTTCTTGTTCTCTGTATTCTCAATGCCTAGAATCATACTTGACACATAATGGGTCCTTAATAAATATTTGTTGAAGGAATAAATTGAAACATAAATAATTTTAAATATATCATATGTAGAGTGACACCTGCTGGTATAATGCTGGTATAACTGCTCTCTATTAACCATTGTTCAAGACACTCCGGTATCTGCACCCAGAGAGATACTTATTCCACAGCTGTATCCTGGTCTAGTATTTAAAGAGAAATAAATGACTTTTTCTTCAACTGGTCCTCCATTAACATATATATTCAATAAGGAATTTAAGCATTAGGGTTCTTGGAATATAAATAAGTGGATGTACATTTAGAAGCAAGAATGACATAGCTAGTGCAGGGACCTTCAAAATCATATACAAAAAATAGCTGAAAAATGAGGTATGGTTTACCTGATAAAAACATGTGTGTACTTCCTATTTTTGAGGGCTACCCAGGATAACGTGATTAAATAATGTTTTGTTCAAATCATGAGGATTAAAGGGGATATTATGTCCAGATCAAGAGGTGCAAACTATGATCACCTTAGGCAAACCAGGTTGTATGGCTTTTCTGGAAAAGAGATAGTGAAGGATAAAGTTTGCCTTTTAATATCCCTATAAGATACAACCAGAAGTAAATGAGTACAAGTTTTCAAATTTTAGGTAATGAGTAAAGATACCTTTTGAGAATTAAGATTGACCAAAGGCAGACTGGATTCCATTATACTTGTTTTTTGTCATTAGAGATGTTCAAGGCTCAAGGGTCATGGTGGGGATGTTGTAGAAGGAATTCAAGCACTGGATGGATTTTTACATTAGGTAACTTCTAAAGATTTCTTTTAGCCCTCAGTGTCACTTACACATAGTCTTCATGTAGTAATAGCAAGGGAAAGTAGAAATTGGTAGAAAACCAATACTTTGATGAGAAGGATGGATTGCTGTTGTTTCCACAGAAGTTTGTGTATGTGTGCATGCAAACTTTTGTGTTTGTGTGCATGAGATATGTAAATACAGGGTATGTATATGATTGCATGTATGAGGATTGTTTATATACAGGTAATTTGCTGTTGAATTAGAAGTCTGGATGGGTCATTTTACTGGTAGTAGAATGTCCAAATGCAGGGAGAGTTTCTGAGAAAGTTCATTATTGAATAACTTACCTACGATAAGGATTAAGGTATCTGTAGTCTGGTAAATAGTAATATGCTAATGGTAGTTTCCTGGTCTTGATATTGTGCTATAGCTACTATATAAGATACCACCATTGGGAGAAGCTGGGTGAAGGGTACATGAGACTCCACTATTTTTGCAACTTCCTGTACATTTGAAAAAGGTTAAAAAAAAAAAAAAAAGACTTGGAGGACACTGACTTAAACAGCAGAGTAATAATACCAAGATATGTCTCTTTATGTCCAGTTATCTCTTCTGGGTTGTGTTTAGCCAGAGTCCTTCTGCATATAGGTGTGTGTCTAGTGTTTACAAGGTCAATCAGTGAAGATAACTGGATTGCTCAAATTCATTCCAGCTCCTTAAAAAACAACTTTAGTAGGATGCTTGATAATCATTGTTATAAGAGATGCCACGTACTTTGTAAAAAGGATCACTATTACATTAAATGCCTTGGCATTTTGTAATCAAGATAGCTTCTCAACTTCATCTCAAGCTTGGCAGGCAGAATCTTAGTTTGACTTGTCATTGGAAAAATACAATTTTAGTTTAAATATTTTTGAGAAAATTTGTGTAGATTGTTCACATTGAGTAGATGTTGAGAGAACCTTAAAAAATAAGTACAGGGGTGCCTGGGTGGCTCAGTTGTAAGCTTCTGACTCTTAATTTCAGCTCAGGTCATGATCTCAGGATTGTGAGATCAAGGTCCACATCGGGCTCCATGGGGCATGGAGCCTGCTTGGGATTCTCTTTCTCCCTCTCTCTCTGCCCCGCCTGTCCAACTCACATACATACTCTCTCTCTCTCTCTCTCAAAAAAAAAAAAAAAAAAAGTACTTATTTTTTAAGTTTCCTAAATAATATTTTCTATGATGATACGCAGATAAAGTGTCCTTATTGGGAACATAATAGCATCAGTATTTGCGTATTTGCTCATTGAGAGAACATTGGGTTAAACTGGATTAAGAGGAATTTGTACTTTATTTAAAAACTGGGACAAAAGTATTACCTAAATGATATCAAATTACAAGTGTTGCACTTTTGCTTCTGGAAAGATGGAGTTGCTTATAGAAAGAGGTCCTTTTCTATATGTTTTTCTGCTAAGTATAACTAAAACTCTGGATGTTATAAAGAAAACAAACAATAAGAAGATTGGAAACTAGAGAGTAGAAGGAAGACTGACTAAGGACCATGGGATCCAATGACTGTGTAGTGGTGAATTCCCTGTACTTGCTTTTCCTCACCTACTCCAGGCTGGATGTTGGAGAAATGGGCACTGCAGCAATGCTAGCAGGATCAGACCAAAAACAAACTTAACAAAAACCTGCTCTTTTTAGCCAAAGGACTATGAAATGGGAAGCTTAGTGAGACAGAAAACTTTTAGAGAATAACCACTCTACTCCAGCCAACACCACAGAAAAACTTTGGCTTATAATATATCCGAAATATCCAGGTTTCTGTAGAAAATCATTGAGAATCAGGGTACCTGGGTGGCTCAGTTAGTTAAGCATCTGCCTTTGGCTCAGGTCATGATCTCAGGGTCCTGGGATCAAGCCCTGCGTCAGACTCTTCTCAGCAGGGAGTCTGCTGCTCCCTCTCCATCTGCCTCAC